GTTCTAATATGACACAGCAAGTGAATTTGTTAATAAAACTTTCACAGCAAAGTAACAAAACTCCATAAAAATGTGCGAACATAAAAGTTTTGGGTCAGTTGGTTAAGGTGCGCTGACTCTGAGCTTCAGATTTGGCAGAACACGAGTTCATTTCCTGGTACTTGCAGTCTCAAAAAATGATGTATAAATAATTAAATTAAAGAAATAATTTCAAGGTCGCTAATAATAGATATTTGGCAATACTCGAAACAGCTGTATGGTCAGTCAGGAATTTAATTAAGTAAAAAATAAAAAAAAATTTTGCTATTGCTATTCAATACTGTTCGAAATCTCTATATTAAATACAATAGTTTGTTTTAAGTAAAATAGCCACTATCGTCATAACTGACTTTAACATCAATTTTAGTATTAGATTAGTTTATTAAAGACCAATTAAGTGAGAAATATCTTTTCAAATGAACTAATGCTATATATTATTAAATCTAACAATGGTAAGTTGCCATTAATATAAAACATATGAAATTTTTTATTTAACATCTAATATGAAATCAATCAGGATAATCATTAATCGTCATATGTGCGTTGACAGTAAGAAGAGAATAACATTTATCAGGATATCTGAACATACCTAAAACTAACTAAAAATAGACCTATCCTAATAAGTGCGAGTAAATAGGTAGATAACTTTACTGAAGCAAAGTAACTAGTTCTGAATTATTAGAAACTAACTAAATTTTAAACTATTTTGTTAATGCTACTATATAAAATATATTTGCCATATCCTTTAAACTTATATGAACATTTCTTAAATATTTGCAGAAACTTTTTTCAGAGTTTAATATGATTTCGATCACTGCTAAGTACAGTTCTCTTAATGTTGTTGACCATAATTCTTTTTCAACTCAGCACATATAATAAATTTTCTTTTTCATTTGTTACCTCATATCTCATACTATCTGACAAATGTGTCTTTAAGTTAATAGGTCTTGCATGTGAACACAAAAGATCCATTAAATACGAAATTGCCATTGATGCAATCCCAAACTCAATTAGTCGGACTCATGCACACATCAACAACCTTAATTTACACTTTACAGAAATTTTGCACACAGTTTTTGGCATTTTTCTTGAGTGTATCCTTTACACTTCAATTAATTAATTTCTCATTAACCTTATTTGCTCCAAACGTACCTGATGTAATTAGTTCAGTCCTTTCATACTTGCATTGATTGAGTGGGAAAGGAGAATGTAACTTCATGTGTGACAAAATAATTACGATTTTCGATTAGAGCTGAACATACTCATATGTATGAGTTCATATGAGTACAAATAGTTGATGTAGTCAGATACAAAGTAGTATTATTGAGAACACAAAATGAAATCCATTTTATTATTTTGATAAATTGAACTCTTAAACCTTGTTAACAATGAGAGAGAGAAGTTTGAGAAGAAAACTACTTAGTTAGGCATTTTATAGAACAAAAGATTTATAGACGTTGAATAAAAAGGCATCTTATTTGTAAGTAATGAATACCAGTTTTAATAAAATTTGCCAGCAAAGTTTCCAATAGAAGTGAACTACAATAACAAAAATTATTTTAATATTTTATTTGATTAAATTTTCGGCTATTTCGAATATTGCCAAATACCCATCATCATCATGGTCTTGAAAGTATTTCTTATATTAAATTGTTCGTAAATAATTTTTTGAGACTGCAATTACCAAGGGTTGAACTCGTATCCCGCCAAATTTTATACTCAAAGTGAGTGTTCATTAGTCAACTGACAAAGATGTACTTGACTTATATGTTTGAACTTGGAGTTTTGTTAATTTTTTTTTGAAAGTTCATTAACAAATTTACGTATTGAGTTATATTGGAACGAAATCATAAACCAGCTGAAGAATAATTGAATTAATTAATCATAGTTATTTTTTAATTGTTCAATTTGGATACTATTTTTTTTAGTCAAACAAAAATTCAATTAACTAAAATTTTACAGTTTTTTGTTGTTGTCTGTACTAAATACAATAGTTGCTATTAAGAAAGCTATAGCAGTCAGAACTGACGTAAAAAATCTTCAATTAAATTTAACAAAAGATTTTCACACAAAAAAATTGGTACTTAAAGTTTTAATTATTGAAGATTTCTAGAATTAATTTGTATACAATTAATTAATTAGACCCTGCCACTTCCGACAACCATATCTGATCAGAACTCGTCCCTGTTTCACCGACGGTATAACACAGACACAGATAACTGTTAAAGCTACGTATGTTGTATTATATGATGAAGACAATACGTCCTTCCCTGTTCGCTGTTAAAACGTGCAGGGGTCGGAGACGTTAGGTTATTGTAAAAGCCACCTACAGTTTCAGACAGAATAGTATAGACACATGTTACTATTAAAGTTACGTGTGTTATACTCCGTGCGACCTATATTCAGTTTAGTTGTCTTGATTAAATCAGTACAAATGTAGTAATATTTATAGTATGTTATATATTTTATATAAACTTTTTTATAATTATTTTATATTATATTATTTTATATTATAATTATTATATATTATTATAATTATATTGTTAGGTACATTTTGTAATTTATAATAAGTATTCATACAAAATTCAGTTTGATGCAATTCAGCAATTTAAGGAAAATTTCAAATGCAACTATGCAAAAGATAAGTTTTAAGCAAAAGCTAAGTTAAGATACAGAAAAATTTACTTTTTTTTAAAAACAGTTGACTTTAAAATCAGTAAAAAATTTTGAATGTAGTGCAAATTTTTAAATTTGAATATTTTTTTTTATTTTATAATTTTGCTTTTTTAGTGAAAAAAATTTTTGTGGTTACAAGGTTTTCCTAAAGCTAGAGATTACATTGATGTTAAATTTGAATATACAGAAAAAACTGTAACTGTTATTAATTTAAAATAGAGTGAAAAATAATAATCCACATATCTGAAATCCACTAAAGCCAATAAAACTACTAAGTGCCATCCTTTCTAGTTAGATTAATTACCTTTAAAATTTCCCAGGTACAAATGGTGTTTGGTGTTTTTGTAAACATTTGTAAACAAAAAACATATGATTTTCTTAATTTGTGGCAGTATGAACACTTTGCAAATTAACTTAATTTCATTTTTAGGAATTTAATAATATTTTACTGAATGAACATAATGTAACTAATTACTACGCATATATATATAATATATAATCAGTTGTGAATATGCTTTAGAAACGATAATATAAACATAGTTAATATTAATTTTTTTTTTGCCTGAAAGTCTTTATATTATTTATTTAATATGAATAATTTTTCGTAGACATTTGTTTTTTATTAATTACTTTAATTTTCAAAATTATTAAGTTATCAAGTTTTCTGTAATATTAATTTTTATAATTACATGAATATTTATTTTGATATTGATATATATACAAGTATAAATCTGTACTTTGTATCATCCATTTTCGAATGCTTTTGTCAAAAGTTTTTGGACGCTCTTTGACAGGCGTCAAAGACAACTGTTTTGACAATCTCACTTCCTGTGAAAGCAGTTCTTGTTAATATCCGTAAGACGACGAGCAAGTTCGTAAATTTCTTTGAAAGGGGGAAGAAGTGTTGAAAAAAATCGTGAAAAATCTTAAAATTGTGCATATAATTTAATTCAATAATTAAACAATTCTTAATTAGAGTATTCGTCCTTTGCGAAGGTTAAAATTGTTTTTTTGGAAATTGTCTACATTTCGGAATATTTCACATCACGCTTTATTAGCAAATTTTGGTCGTATCGGAATACGAATAGGTTTAAAATTTGCGACTGTAGCCATCATAAAAATTAATAAGAAAATTTTGAAATTCACATTATTTCCATCAGGTGAGTTATTTGTATAATTTTATAATATTGAACTATATTATAATAATATTATTTATTTTTTTTATAATATTATTATACTCGAATTAGTATAATAATATAATATTGAAATTGTCAAAGTGCGTGAAAACGTAGAGATAGTAAATCTATATCCTATTAAAGTCAAGCCCACTAAACCGCGCAAGTATCATGATCACATACACACATAATTAAAAAATAATAATAAGTAATAAGTAATAAAAAGTGGATTATTGTTAGTTCCAAAATTTTTACTAAAATAGGGATAAAACGTAATGAAATATGGACGCTGTGTTATATTGCGTCCTTGAAGTGTTATAATTTTCACACTTTTCGACTCGATTACAATTTCTGGGGCGCGTGATATATTTCATGTTAACATTGAAACTTAAAAATATTTTTAAATAGTTTTATAAATAAAAAAAAAAGCATAAAATATTTTTAAGCAGTACTCCTATACTCTTGTATTGTGCAATAAAAATTTGCTCAATGTATCAATATATATCGAAATCATAATTGTGCTTTCGTTATGCACTTTTTTTACATAAAGTATTAAATGATGAAATAAGAAACAATAATCAAAAGAAAACCAAAATTTTAGATTAAATCAGCATTGCCAAGCACAAAAAAATTTCTTATACAAAGATTATAAGAAATTTTGCAAGATAATATGATTATCAATTAAATTTAATTAAAAATAAGCAAACAATATATAAAAAACATTGATTTTTTAAAATGCAAATCTTTTAAGAATATTTTGAAGTAAATTTAATTTTTATTAATTGCATTGAATCATAAATTTTATTTGATTTTATAACACTTTCAACATTTGGAACATTTTCGATGGTACCAACATATCTTTGAATAGCACCAACATATTTTAGTTTAACATTAAAATAAAATTGACTCAGAAGTTTGAAAAAGAACGGGATATATAATAAATTTTCCTTAAAAATAATAATTACTCACGACTTTTTATAAAATAACAATAAAAGTTTTTAAATGTATAAAACATATAATACTATGAAATCAATGATGTCGCTATTGTATATATAATGCATCAGAAAAATAGATTTTATAACCACTAATTTTATATAGAACGCTCTTCCTTTTTTACTTTCTTTAAAAACTACGGCACAAAATTGCATTTTTCTTTTAAATTCTAAAAATAACTTTTATTATATAAACAATAATAATAATAATAAAACCATTATCCTTAATATTTAATATTATGTTCGAACTATTAATGACATAAGCTATTATGTCAAATTATAAGACTTTTTTCAATTTTATTCAACATCATTTTTTTTAATCAATAATTCAACTTTTTAGGTTTAAAAAAATACACTTTGAAATGAATCCATCACGTCAACAACATGAAGATGAAGACCTTGCCGGCGACACTAACCAACCTCTAGAAGGTTCGGTAAAACCCGTGCCTAACCTATTAGATTACACTGATTATCCAACATTGTCAGCTTCCCTAACACGTTCAAATCGTAAACAAAAGGAGTCAGAAAATATCGCTGACACCTCCAAAGCTAAAATTTCGGAACCAGTAACATCAGATGTAGATTTTGATTTGTGTCAACTTTTGGCAAATATTTCATTATCTTCCAATCAACAGTCAAACGGTGTAGATGAAAAAGTTGCTGAAGAAATTCGTCCATTCTCACCATATCTGAAACAATTTATGTATGTTCCTGATGATGAAAAAACGTATAAAAGAAAAATAGACAAAAAAACTGCCTCTCCAAATCTATCAAATGAGACTCAAACTAATGCAAGTCCACCTACAGCAGTAGACATAGAAGGTAATATATATAATATGCCAAGTAGTGTTTTAAATGACGGATACGGCCTAATGGGCCTGCAATCAATATTTGAACGCGGTAAACGTAATCTTTTATCCATACATATTACCGGTATGAATCTCTACGAGCTTGGTATAGATGTATGTTCTGCAGATCCAGTGTTACCATATTTTGGTGGTGCTTTGGATTTTAATTTTGATGGTAATACAAAAACATCATATGATCGATTGGTTTACAAATTACCAAACTTTGTAAACAAAAAGTTGCCAAAATTTAATGTTAGAAATATGTCTCAAGATTTATTGTTTTATATATTCTTTACTAACACTAACGAAGTTATGCAAATAAAAGCTGCTATGGAATTGTTCGATAGAGGTTGGAGATATCATCGTTACATGAAAAAGTGGTTACAACTGTTACCAAATGGAAATTATGATTATTACGGATCGAGAATAATCGGCCGGTTTCAAATATTTGAAAACAAGGATTGGAAAATTCTGGTACAATATAAAGTATTAAATTTCAACGATCTTTTGGAGCGAGACACTGCAAGTGATAACGAAATTTAATCAGAAAATTATGAATTTGCAAAAAAAAAAGTAACATTTCGTATATTTAATAATAATTAATATATTTTTTATAGTCATTTGTGTAATCGAAATACTTTTGATATTGCCCGTTTAAAAATGTTAAATTTATATAACTTTTATTTTAATATAATATTTTTTGCATCTCTAATAGACGATTTCATAGTTATAATTTAAGTTTTAAAACTGAGTTAAGCATGGATTAAGTCAGCCAAGTTAATGACTTAAGCATTACTTAAGTCAATTTTAAGACTTAAGTTACGAATGTGAAATATGCCATTAATAGAAAAGAAATGATGGATTTATTGTAAAAGTATTGCATATATGTATTAAGGAAATACCTAATACATACTAGTAGTTATACAAGACTGACTAAATTTAGTTTCAAGTAATATCAAATAGTCCCTTCATTTAATTAAATTTAAATTAAAAACACTTTTACTATATATAACATCGGCTCAAGCATCTAAAGTATTTCGCAATAATCAAAAAAAAATTTTAAATTAATTTTTTTCAAATTAATTTTTTTTAAATTAATTTTTATATTTTACTAATATTTAATTTGTAAAAAAAACTGTTTGATTATTATTTTATCATTCATTATATTTTAAAAGTGTCCCAACAACAAAAAAATAAAAAAGAAAATCGCATATAAAAACTAAAACCAAAACAAAAGTCAAAGTGAAGCTCATAAGCAGACGCCAGCAGACACTGTACAGTGCATTGCAACGCTGTTGGCTTGAAGCAAGTTTAAGAATCTGTACACGGTTTGACAGTGTCTTTTTATAAGTTTTGCTACACAAATAAATTAAAGAAGAAGCATATTGTTTTTTTTAAAGCAATGTGTTGTGTTCTGCATAAACGTCCAGTATTATTTTTTGCAATTTGTGCATTGTGTATAGTGTAAAGTGTGAGCGAGAAAGCGCAATGTTTTTGTTGTATTAAATCGTACTTTTTGTTCACTTTTAATTAGACCAATTTATATGAAACTTTACCACACACATACATATATGCTTTGCAGTAAAAAAATACTAATGCATAGCGATTGAATTTTTGTTGTTGGAATATAAACAGTAAAGTTTTTTATTTTAGTATTTTTTGTTTTTCTGAATGATATTTAACAGTAAATTGTTTTGTGCTTATATATTTTGTTGTTGCTAACGTTTAACAGTAAAGCCTTTCAGAAAGCTTAAAATTTAAATTCTCAATAAAAACGAAATCAGACAGTTTTTTATATAAAAAAAAGATTTAATGTAAAATAATTTAATGAAATTATTTTGATTAAAATTACCTTCAAATAAAATATTGCTGTAATTATTTTGTATAATTTTTTTAACTTTTGATTTTATTTAGGATATTTTTGCAAAGCAGAATATTAAATATTTTTTTTTTACTTTTAATTTAATTTAGTATATTTTTTCACATAATTATTTTTGGCTTGACAATATAATTCAATATTAAAAATAAGAAATGTTATATTTCATATTTACTTTCCACACAATTTTATGAAAACATTTCAGTAGCAAGACACTTTTATACTTTATTAATATTCTATTTACTGCATTATTTATTATTTTTGCAAAGTAATTTTATTAACTAAAAAATAAAAAGAAGTCTTTGGGCGTTTCGTACTTATACACTCACGTCCAATCAGACTTTAAATGGATTTATAACTAATTTACTTCAACAGACTTTTGCGCAAAAATTATTTGCTCACACTTGTTTTGTTTGATACAATTATCACCCATTAAATTCTTTGGGTGAAATAAGTATGATGACGTCATCATTATCAGTACATCAGAAATCGTAGCAGTTGAAATGGTTGCTTCGAATATGTCAAGTGTGCTTTTGTCTTTAACATAAAACATATCAAGAAACAACCAATGAAAAGATCATTATAATCAAATAATAAATTTATAATTCTTGCACAAAATCATTTTATGATTCGCACACTTAAGATCATTGTGCTATACGCAGCTTTTGTTTGCCTTTAATTGTTCTAAAATTCAAAGCTTTTAGCTGGCTACCATGAAATAAAAGGAAGTCATTTTTTTATTCTGCATTCGCAATCAGTATATTATTTGTCTGTGGCATCACTTTATCGTTTGGAAAATCTATCCTAAAGCTACAAGGCTTTGTAAGTCAACACAAGTGAGCGCTTCAGCTAATAAAACATTAATCAATAAACTAAAAAACTCAAGATTTAAAAAAAAAATAAATAAAATAAAATTATCAAAAATAATTTTTTTTTCAGTATATGGCGTATACATAGGTATATAGAAGGAAATCGGAAATATCTAGGTTAATATCTATTCTAACAGGACACTGGTTTGGAGGATGGCATAAAACAAGGCCTGATCTGTCGAATCTACTGTATTATCTGTTTATCGACACTCTAAAAGAAAATACTGAGGCACCTATTATATCTATGTCTAGGATATCTCGGTTGACACAGTGCAATTTAGACAAGAAATGAAGAATTTAAGGCGGAACCTGCTCAGCATGCTATAGACTGAGTATATCCTACAACAACTTTTGTCGAGGTTATAGCTCTAAGGATGAGGAGCAGACCGTGATCCATCTCATGTGTCACTGCCCTTCTTTAGCTAGAAGAAGATCAAAAATCTTCGGAACCCCCTTTCTCACTGATCTGACTGAGCTATCACCCTGTAATTGTAGGGACCTGACCAAGTTTATAGAACTGTCAGGTTGATTTTCCTTTACTTAATGTGGGAGTCGTTACTTTTTCCGAGTTATACTGATTTAAATCTATGTATGTACGTACCAATGCTACGCCTATGGTACCGTAATGTGCCATTATTTGAGCTCAAGTGGACTTTTTAAAAACAATGCTAAAATGACAAACAATGGCAAATTTATTTTTCCAATATCATGTTTCTGTCAAGCAAAAGTTTGTAATATTTAATTACATAAACAATAACGCAAGATCATTTATATGATTGTTATCACGGAAGAGATACGATAAGGGAATAGATCCTCCCCATTAACAAACAAATTTCTTTGAAAATTTTTATCATTTTTCTGTGGTCATGCTTTATTTATTTTACTCTTGGCTCCTGTTCTATGTTACGTTGATAATTCAATGGAGAGATAATATACTGTAAACAGCAAGGACGGTATTTCATGGATTTTAACAATTAACAATTCCAGACTAAGAGAGACGGGCTCTATATGGTGTTTCATTAAAGAAATAAATGCACTATCCCTTCTTTTTCATTTTCTATTACATTCTTGGCACAATCCTTATTATTCCATTGTCTCATACCTATTTGTAAGTATGGCTATTTCATTCCTACATTGCACTGTATCATTGCATCAAAAGCCACTGCTCATCGAACTTTAAACTCTGAACTCAGGTGAAGACTATTTTACACTTTATAAAAGACCCCATACTTTTAGTTTGCTTTAAAGTGACTTTTCATTTTAACTTATATTTCAAACAATTTTATCTCTTGAATAACTTCAATTAAAAATGCAATATAAAGGTAAAAATTATAAAGTATATGAACTTCATTACAGTTGGTTAAGTGTTGCAATTCCTTAACTAAATTTGTTCACTCTTGAAAGTTATAAACAATTGAAGTACTGTGATATCTCAACATCATCAGCATAACTCATTTTTCCAAGTGGCCTCTATTTCTTCCTTCTGCAAACACAAACTTCTGGTGCCTTGGCTATGTTTTATTGTAACCCACTTTAGTTTCATATCTAGCATTGAAAGTTTGGTCCAACTACCATAAAAACGATACTGTAAAAAGAAAACATTATAAACTAGCTAAAAACATAATTTAAACTTTTGCTTTGTGGTAATTAAAAAGTTTTAAAATTTTCTTTTTGTTTTATTGCCATTGAGTACAGCACTTTGCTTTTCTATCTACAATTTTACTATTTTGCTTTCATGGCCAATAATGTTGGAGCGCAGTTTTCCTTGTTCCATGAAGTACGCAAAACACTTAAAGACAGCGAGAAGTCATTCCGGAAATTTAAAGATGTAGACATTTTGTATTTTGTAAAGAAAAAAAAAACAGACCAAATAAGTGAAAGCAAAAGAAAGTGCGTAGAAATTGTTGTTAAAACTTTGTCTAACATAGCAAGTAACCTTAAGAAGGGAAATGTTAAAAAGTTATCAGCAGGACACGCACATTTCTACACTTAATAAGGAATCTTTTGTAAGTATTTGTTTGTGTGTGTGTGTTTGTAATTATGTACATTTTGATAATAAATTAATATTTCCAGTCAAACGAAAATGGTTATTGTTGCCAAACTTGTACCAAAAAACCAAGGTAACCACAAGCCAAGCCGCTGTTTCAACCCACAAACAGTGGTCTGGTAACCAGTCGGTTGGGTTTATTTTTCCTTAACTAGCTTCTCTGTTATGTTCATTGTCGTGGTACTCGTACATATTGTTTTTGTCATGGAACAAAAGCCGTTCCCGCTGCAAAGAATTATTAACTGCACTTCACAACTACTGATACACTCGCACTCACACTCCCACACACTCACAATCACACAGTTATGCATACATATAAATATGTGCACTTATACATCTGTAATGATGTGTATATCCTTTGAACATATTTCTTTGAAAATTTTTACCATTTTTCTCAGGACTTGATTTATTTATTTTACTTAAGCGAAATTTATTTGAAAATGGTTACTTTATGGTATACGTATATAGTAAACAGCACACGTTTTCCCGCACTAAAGAAAAACTAGAGAAATAGCAAATGCTGCAGTTAACTTTATCCTTTTTTCTTGGTCCTTGGTCCTTTTTATTGTTTGAACATTGTGCAAAAAATTACTTAAGCCTGATTAGCAAGTGAAGATAATTTCTTAAGTTTTAATAGAAATTTTTTAATAAAAACTGCATAATTTTTTACTTATTTTATTGCGGTAAGTGTCTTATTTAAAATATGATATTTAAATTATAATTAAGATTTCTATATCAAGATTTTAAGTCATAGTTATTTGAATCGAAATTTGAAACAAAAACTTTATTATTAAATTTATTATATATTTTTATATATAATAAATTATATACATTTATATATAATAAATTATATACATTTATATACAATAAACTATATATTTTTATATATAATAAATTTATAAAAAAAAAACTTTTTTTTTATTTAAACGTCGTTATTAATTATCTTCAATAATTAATATTTTGATAAAACCCTTAGCCTCATCACAATTTTTATTAAGTATACTAAACTCATGCTAAATCACGTCATTACGGCTCTTATTTAGCATACTAAATGCGTACTAAAATGCTTTACAACAGTTTTTATTTAGCATAGTAAACTCGTACTAAATTGCATCATCTCAGTATTTATACAACATACTAAACTCCTGCTAAATTGCGTCATTACAGTTTTCATTTAGCATACTAAACTCATACTAAATTGCATCAACATAACTTTTATTTTGCATTCTAAACTCGTACTAAATTGCTAAAGTGTGAAACTATTAAATTGACAAATAGCAACATCGTGAGTACAAGTTTTCTGTGCCAGCTATGATATTACATAGTTTACTAAGTAATCCCAAGACAAAGACATTTATCCATGTAGTATTCATTACGCTGCTTATGGTACTATTGAGTTTCTTTCCATAAACTCTCTGGTACATTCATCTGGCGGTGCGTAAATGAGAAAGATGTTACAAGATTATCTCTGAATTCATCTTGAAAATTTGATTTTGACTTACTAATGATTGTTATAACTATAAAAGATCAATCGCAATTACAGTTCCGTTAATTTTCGGGGTTTGCGTCAATGTTGATGCATATGCTTGCCATGGAAAACAACATGGAAGGTTCTCTTAAGTAATAGGTTATGATGGGTTTTAGTGAGAAAGTGTGACTATTTCAACAAGACAACATCATCGCAAAAATGCTTTAAAGCCATTTGTAAATAAACATTTCGATGAGATGGATGTACCATTTCATCATAATTCTACACAGTTACCCAAATTACATGTTAACCATATATGGCTGACACACTGTTTTTTATTATGCTATATATAATTTGCACAAGGGCCTCTACGGTCATTTCTCTAAGAATCCATAAGATTACAGTCGTGTAACGTGCAATTTTGAAGTGATTTCGAAAACTCTAATTGTTTCTATTGATTTTTCTTTTGGGTCCGAATACAATTAAATTTCGAATAAGAAATTTATAGATTTTTAAAAATTACAGTTACAGTTGAATTTAGCTATCCTTCGTATAATATATTTTGAGATTCTATAATGATGCTTATTATAATCATGTTACTACAAAAATAAAAGTATTATCATTTTACTTATGTTAATATGAAATATATTCTGGAAATTTTTTCTAAAAAATATAGTAACTTTTATTACAATTAGTTCTTTTTTGTTCGAAAGTATCAACTATTGATTTAAATAGAATTCACGAATATTTTATTTTGTACATGCGAAGGCACCGACCATTGCTTTTAACAAAAATAGCATCGACCACAAATTCATTGTACCAATCAATTTTAAAAGTAGACCCTCTGATTCCAATAAGTTTTCTTTATTAACTGATATTGATTCAACTTCCTTGCATTTTAAACATGAATCTTTTGGCAAAGTTGCAGGACATACATTTTTTTTCGATTCAGACTTATTTGTCTTAGTCATGCAAATACTTTTATTTATCAGCATACGTTTTTCAGATAAACTAGACATCATAGGAGGCTTAACTTTCAGGCACCTTTGTGGTGTCTCGCCACGCAACATACGAGTTATGTCAGCATATCTATCTACGGTACCAGCAAAAAAATGGACAGGTCTAGCAAGTAAGATGTTTTCTACTTGCACCTTTAGTTGCTTTGGTTTAAGCTCTATGTTAAGAAGCATTCTTTTGCTACCTTTCGTTCCAAGTAACCGCTTATCAAAGTTCAAATTTTTAACCATAGAACTAAAGTATTTTGCCAAATATTGTGGTCCAATTTCTGCTCTGAAACTACGCGCAAGTGTTGTGTTACGAACCTTTCCAGTTTGGTCTATAGACCAATAAGGAAGTCCAGTTACTGCTTTTAAACTACAAGGAAGTGTTGCGCTACGAACCTCAAGTTTTCCTGAAGTTGAAAGTAATTCATGCTGCACTGCTGACTTGTCTTGGATTTGTAATCTCTGATTATTATGGAGATATTTGAAAATATTTAATATGAGATGATTTAGACTACTTTGCTCAACATTACTATTTATAATTCGATCTGTAAAACAAATATTTTCTGACATGCTAGCTTTAAGACTTACAGAAAACATTTCTGTTAAGCTATCATTAAAAGTATTTGTAAGAGTCAAAGTAAATTGAATACATTCTTCATCAAATTTGTTACCAAAATCGCATGACTTTTCACAAATAATTGATAGCGCATTTTGGTTTGTTGGAAATTGGTATTCATTAGTTGCAAATTCAACAAATGGTATTAGATTATCATTCTTCTTCTTAACCATATCATCATTATAACAAAAGCTGGGTTCATAAGTCTCTTTTTCTTCAAAAAGTAGGATTTTATGGCTACCCGTCTTCTTTTGGTCACCCTCTCCTTTGTTCTCACACATATTGGATGGAATAAATGTATCGCGCTTTGTCTTCGTGGCTTTTCGAAAAGAATAAGACATATGCCTTAATACATCTACATCATCGTGAGCTGAAATTTCATAACTGCAAAGAGATCCTTTATCGCTATGCCCAAAAATGCTTGACGAATTATGCTTTCCTCTAAACAATTTGTTTAAAGTAACATATTCATATCTCGTGTCTTCATTGTCGAACACAAAAATGAATGAATGGAGCTTAGGTGGAACATCTATGAATTAAATGTTAATATTTTTCTCTAAATTTAATTAAATTTTTAAAATTGAATAATACCTGACATATTCAATTTTATTTCTGTTTTCAAAGCATTTGAATCGGATGTTCTTTCAACTGGTTTTTTGAATGGCAAGATTGCTTTTTTCACTTCTCTCGAGGCTGTGATTTGTTTAGTACACTTTTTGAAGGACAACTTTTTTATAAAGTAACCTTCACCACTTGAGATGACGAGCCTCACAGCCAATAGAGAGGAGTATTTATTTTCATGATCCTCTAGTATTGTTGATGCTGCATATTGATCCATTCTTAAAAAGATTTTTATATTGCCTAATTAGTTTTTTCGGTACATTTAATTTTGAATTAATTTTACAAGCCAAAGTTTTGAATTTTTATACGGATTTTTGTAAAGTAGTATAAAATAAAAAATATTATATGAAATAAAATTTTTTGATAATCAAGTTTTAAAAGTTTTGAACTCAATCATTTTGAAAGCCTACTTTTCTATATTTTGATATTTTTAACAAATTTTGGTGAAAGAAATGCAATTCTGAAATTTTTGCAAATATATCATTGTAGTACGTAGGTATCTGGTCAATAAACAACAGGAACAAAAGCTTCCATCAGATAATTTGTACTACAACATTTCGCTTTACACATGAAAGTTAAAATATCCCTCATTGATCACATTTCAATATCAAACAGGACAGGGGCTCCTGCGTTCATATTCTATATTAATCCACTTATCGATTAATGCCCAACGTACGATGAAACAATAGTCGCTAGTTAGTTTAACCGCAGTCAAATAATATGGTATACAATACATTAGTCATATATATGAAAGTAAATGAAAATCAAAAAAATATGGGATGTACTTATGGAAAATTGAATATTTAGCTAAACCCAAATGGCAAACGATGGATTTATACTGGTTGAGCTTAAAAAACGTGATATAATATCCACAAAATATAATTTTATTATATACAATAACAAATTAAGTTTGTTAATTAATTAATTTAATTATAATTTTTTTTTAAACCTATGAAAAAAATACTCCTTAAAATACAAATCTAAAAATCTTAGTTTAAATAAAATGGATAACATATATGAGCTAACATACAGCAGTTTCCGACACTTGCAAATATATGTACGTCCTCAACATTTATTGCTTTAAATATCCGTAAATAATTTTGGACTACGAGTATTAGCAATTGAGTAAGTCAATGAAAAAATAATATTTAAATCATACTAAGCGGGCATAATGGATATAAATCAATCCATTATTATTATTACTGCTACTCCATCCAGCATATTCTCCAGATTTAGTCCCCTGCGATTATTTTCTATTTCCAAACCTAAAGAAATAGCTGGGCGGTAAGAAATTTGAGCCGAATGAAGAAGTCATTACCGAAACAAACGCGTATTTTGAAGGTTTTGAGAAAACCTATTATTTGGAGGGAATAAGAAAATCATAAAAACGCTGGGCGAAATATATTGAGCTAAAAGATGATTATGTAGAAAAATAAAATGTTTATTTGCCGAAAAAAATTTGTTTTATTCAAAAAGTCGCTGACTTATCAAACCGTATATAGGACAGTGGTTTCCCTAAAAATAAATTCAAAGTAATATGTAAGAACGTAAAGCAACCCAAAATCCATATTCCCCAAACCAAATGTAATTGGCCATTACGCAGATATGACGTTGGACATATGACGTTTCAGACTATCTTTTGGAGAAGAAACAGATGGAGTGTAATACGTTGAATAACCTTAATAGTTAAATTAAGTTCTTATGTGATAGAACAACAGATATTAACTATTATTATTACTTTAGTTGAACGACTTTTTTTGCTCGTTTGCTTTTGAAGGCATTTTTGTCATAGCCCGAAAGAGCCATTTTTACTGTGCCCCCGTAACACTCTACATAACATGACCCTAAGAATTCACTTTGCTAGTTTATTGTCAAGTTCTTTTGTTACTTGACAAGTTTCCCTTCCGGACCACTTTCTTCGGGACCACAAAGACCATATATATTTATTTTGAATCACTTGCATTTTGCAAACATATTTAAAAAGTTTTTCGTATTGTCGACTCTATGTTCGAATACTCGTAATTTTGAATGAAATTTTTTTTTAAACTCTATATATAGTTAGCTTTTTGCTTAATTAATTTTACATTGTTTCCTGGTCAATTAAAAACGATTAACGGCTTTTGAATCTTAACGAGAAAATGCGCTTTGACACGTGTTCCAAATTTATGCTGAAAGCATTGAAATCCATGGCATGGTTAATAAACCGCTTACCGCATGTCAAATAAAACAAAATATAGATTTAAATATTTACAAATTAAAATGCATAATTAACTTTTTATGCTCCTCCGTTACGAGTGTTTATAGTGTATATAATCAGCTTTGTACAATGTTTTATATGAAGGGATACTCAAAACTAAAGCCACAATGCGGTTTATTGAACTATAAATAAAATTCCAACCAAACGCTCCGGTCCGCTCGACTCCTAGGAATGATATGTAGGAATGATATGTAGGTGCAGATAAAAAACTGAATGTATCTGAACTGAATGCTGTAGAGAATGAAAATGCTAATCATTGTAGCGTTTAATTTAATTTACTTAATACATATGAAACGAGATGTCAAAAAAAATGAATTATTTTTTGTGTCAAATAATTTAAATGTATGTTATCCTGTTTTAAATAAATAATTCAATTTGAGATACGTGTGTTCCACATAACCCAATACAAATGATACTTAATTATGTAAATTTAAATGAAATATTAAATTATTCCATTTATGTGCATTTTTTATTTGATATTTTTTTTTTATTGTATATTTTTAATGAATTGCTTTAAGTCAATCTTAAACAATATTGCACAATTTTAACAATTAAAAACAAAATTAACAATTAAAACCAAAATTAACAATTAAAAAGTTTACGCTTAACTGTCAAACGCAAAGACTGGAGACTAGATGGACCCACGTCAATATTAATGACGATTTTTTAATATTATTTTTTTGCTTATTAATTCTTGAAAGTTTATCCTCCTGCACTGCGGCACTGTGGCAATTGAAGTCACATAGAAAAGTGGAAGAAGAAGGCAGTGGAGAAATGTACAGAAGTCCTTTAAGTTCATTTTAATTGGATTAAATTATATAAAAGCTATATTAATGAAATACATACTCTTATAATGAAGACGCACAACAGATGCAAAAATAATTTAATTAATAATAAAACAACTTATTTGCACTAATTGACTTTTTATGTATATTTATTTAATTATTCTCTTAAAATATGCATTTTAGGATCAATATTAATAAATAGTTGTAAAATAACTTAGTCAAGAGGGAATATACAAATCATACTTCGAAGACTTGAAAGAAAGAAACCAATTTTGTTAATATGGTAATGTAGAGCATGGTAACCTATCAGATCATCTGCGAACCAGCGAATGATCTCAGGTCTGTTTTACAGAAGAGTATTGTTCTACTATGGTTAGAACGAACCAGATGAAGAACAAACCAGCGCTCTAGAGTGGTTGTTAGATAGATCACCTTCTGGAATTTTTGCTGTTGTATAAGTGTTTGTTGTATTTAAACTCTGTTTTAACCTTCTGGCACAAGAAGACAAAAAAAACCTAGGTGATGATTTAACTCAAAAAATGTACGCCCTTACTCTCTGTCTTAGATAAATCTATCTCACTAAGGTACTAAGTCAATTTTTTTCTTCTCTCCCCTGAGAGAGGAAATGAAGTTTTCACAATGCTGTGGAAATCTTCTCCATTAATTTCTAAGAGGTGGTTTAGTGGGTTCAAGTCTCACACGGTGGTTTTCGATGCATCCACCTACTGTCAAAAACAAAAAAAAAAATTATTGCCTTATAGCTCAATTTGATTTGCTTTTTATTATTCACTTATTTCATTTAATTTGCTCTGTGAACAAACATGGAATCTGAATACACGCCTTCGTTAGAAACCTTAAATTTGTTGTGTAAAGATCATATTAGTTGTAGACCAACTTCTTTCTTGAATTTAAAAACAACACAATTTTGAAAATTACTACTCCAAGCTTGATCAACTCAAATTACTCCAACCTTAATCAACTTAAATTACTTCAACCTTGATCAACTTAAGTACAGGCGTTGGCTCGTGGATTTAACAAGTGAGTCTATGCTTCAAATTGGGCAGGGTTTAAAGCTTGGGTGTTGCTCAGTAAAATTTATGTATGGGCAATTAAACCAAAGAGTCCTTTCAAAGAGGACTGATGATGAAGATTTGATAATATTTGAAACAGTTGTACGGATAACTAATAATAATAATTTATTATATTTATATAAAATTATTTATTATAATAAGAATTGTAATTTACTTATAAAATTTTTAATTTTATATTATATTTATATTGAAATAAATAGTGGTAAATAAATGTCTTTTCTATTGTTGTGTAAATACTCGTATTAAATCAATTACCAACATTAATGACTAATATCTGTATAGACTTATAATCCATGACTCAAAAGCTTAACAAATTTTAAGCTAATTGCTAACACTAATGACTAATGACTAATGTCTGTAAAGAATAAAAATCCTTGATTTTCAATCTCAACAACTGAAGCCTGCAGTACAATGAACTCAATAATCGAAGAAGAATACTTAACAAGCTGCGCTGTAAATAACAGCAAAATACACTTCACTCGCACACCCCATCTTCTCACAAATCAAAATTCTTTATAAAATTTTCGCATAATGGAGCTCAATCATACCAATATAGGAATATATACTTCAATATTTTCTAGAATCTTATTTGCACACTGAATGAAGTCGAACACGCCCCACAATTACAGTACAAGATTACAAGTATATATATACGTACTACGTACAAACGTCTATTCGTATGAAATTATTATCCTTACCTCTTTTTTGCGGCGGTTGTATCGAGGGCGATGGTATACATTGTACGACCATCAGTGATGAAATTGCTATCCATATCCAGAGGCAATATATCCATGAGTTGTATTTGAGTGCATCTGAAGCTGATATATATTTTGTATTTAGCAGAATTCTTTTTGTTTTCGTAATTACATTTTGAGCAGTTGTTGTATTTGTAACTTGTTTACGTTTTAACGTTGGAATTGTTGCTGATTCGGATACAATTGCCGTAGCAGCAGCAGTAACAGCAACGGCAACATCTCGAGTTGTTACTGCTGTTGCAGTCAATGGTTCTGCTTTTAATGTTGCCACTACGCTTAAAGGTATGTCCGCCAATAAAGTTGAATATTCTGCCTTGTTCCCTTCGTTGTTGCCAGCATCCATTGCTGCAACTGCTGCTGCTGCTGCTGATGTTGTCGGACGACGATATTTTATATGTTTGCG